TCAGTAATATATAGAAACTTGGTCTGATATAGCTATATTCATTAATATTCAAGCCATTGCATAGCTTTAATCTTGTTGTGAAACATCAGAAAATACTAAAGGACACTCTGTAAACTATGTTTTTAAACTTTTTGTTTTAAAAATTATTTTTATTTTATGCGTATGAGTGTATTGCCTGGATGTGTGTAAATGCACTCATGTCATGCAATGTCTGCAGAGGTCAGAAGAGGAAATCAGATTCCCCTGGAACTGGAGTTACAGATGCTTGTTAGCTGCCATGTGGGTGCTAGGAATCAAACCTGAAGAACAGTGCTCTTAACTGCTGAACCAGCCCCACTTTTTCAAACACTCAGAAGGCAGAGGCAGGAGGATCTCTGAGTTCAAGGCCATCCTGGTCTACATAGAAAACTCTCTCTCAAAAAAAAAAAGTTAATGGCATGAAAGACAGCAAAAGCTTAAGAAACTTCCAGATAAAAGATGACTACAGGGGCTGGAGAGCTGGTTCAGCATTTAAAAGCACTGACTGTTGTTGCAGAAGACTCAGGTTTGATTCCCAGCACCCACATGGCAGCTAACAACAGTCCGTAACTCCAGTTCCAGGGTAATACAGCGCCTTTTTCTGACCTCTGTGGTCATTGCATGATAAGGGTGCCCTTACACACATACAGGCAATACACTCATACGCATAAAATAAAAATAAATAAATAAAAATATGACTAGAAATATAATGTCTGAAAGTAATAGACTATATTGACCTGGTGCAACTGAAGAAAGCTATGGTGTCAACGTGAAAATTTTTCTGAACCTGATAACTGCACCAAAGACTTATTCTTGTTCTTATGAAATAGACACTAAAATATTTCAAGGCAAGGGAGTCTGGTGTTTGCAAATTACTCTTGGACATCTCAAGGTGTCCACAGTCATACCACCCTTAATATATCTGCTCATAGATTGGAGACACACAGAGAGACATCATGTGCTCTTCCTTAGAGACAGAGAAAACGATCAAGCAAATTCAATAAAATGATGAACTGATAAAGGATAAATGGGAGTTCTTTTTGCAAGTTCTCTGTGGATTTAAAATTTTATTAAATATTCAGTAAAACAGAGACAAATCTCTTGAAATACTAGTCAATGAATTAGACAAGGGAAATCATCTAAAGGCATAGAACTTGAAGAGGAGGGAAAATATCATTCCAAACTGCATAATTATAAAACCTAGAAAGCAACTAGAAACAAAAGAGAATTTACAAGCTGACTGAGGATAAAAGCAATATACAGAAATCACTGGATTTCAGTTATAATAGGAAAGCCCAAAAGCTTTATTTCTCCCAAAACACTTGTAAAATTCTGTTATTTCACTTCATCCTCATTCTAAGGCCAAATAACTACTTTAAGGGCAGTCTGGCATCATTAAATACAATAGGAATAATAACTTTGTGATCACATAGGCTGTCATGGCAGCAAACAGCATCAGTAATATAAGACCATCCCTCAATAATGTTTTCAGGGAACAAAGATAGCACAGCATAATATACCACAATTACTGCTGGAATTACTGCAAGGCAAGCAAAAAGAATGAACTATTATTTTACCACCCTTTCAGAGGCAAAGAAGTTGCTGTACAAAAGATTTATTTTTTTGAGACAAGATTTCATTATGTAACTCTGGCTGTCCGGGAACTCACGATGTAGACTAGACTGGCCTCAAACTCACAGAGATCTACCTGCCTCAGCCTCCCAAGTGCTGGGGTTAAAGTTGTGTACCACCCTGCCTGGCCATACAAGTGATTTTCCAGAAAGAAAAACTTCATGTTTATAAATACATAGAAAAGGATATCATCACCCTGACTCTGGATTAGGAGTTAGGTGGGGAGCTGACCAGAGGCTACAATTTCATGGTTTGGGTGATTTTTGAAATGCATTTATTATTTGTGTGACTAAAAATAAAATGGGAATTTTCAAGCTATTAATTCTGTAGGGGAATTAAAAAAAAAAAAGATCAGTGCTACTGGATCTGGTGGTACATACCTCTAATCCCAGTACTTGGGAGGTAAAAGCAAAAAGATTAGGAGTTCAAGGCCAGCGTAAGCTACATGAAACCCATCTCAAAGAAACTAAACTAAAAATAAGAAAAAAAAAGTGGTCTAGTCTATATCAAGAGAGTCTCAAGCCCTTGGCACCATCCACATACCCAAGGCTCAGGAAACTCTTGAATCCTATTTCTTGGTGTTCCCTATTACCTAGTTTATTTTATACAAGCCTCCTGGTCTTCCTTGTCTCAGTGGAAACCACTCGCGTCCTCCTAGTCTCCTGCTTAGATCCCTGAATCATTTTTGCCAATTTAGCCCACACAGAAGTTCAGGCATGCTGCACCATTTGGTTGGGTGATATTGACTAAAACCAAAGCAGACTAAAGAGCAGGCCTGGCCTGATAATATCTACCCTACAACCTTTGGGTAGTCTTTCTATGTAGCCCTGGCTCTCCTGGAACTCACTGTGTAAACCAGGCTGGCCTCGAACTCAACAGAGACCCTCCTGTTTCTGCAAGCATTAAAGCCATGCATCACCATATCAAGCTTCTTTGGGCAGTCTTAAGAGGAAGATAAAATTGGGTAGGAGGAAAGATATCTGATTGGAAGCCAAGCACAGCTATTCCTCAACCATGTAGACACTGTGCCATAAAAACACCTAAAAGAGAGCCTCCTAATGGATCAGATACCTTTTGAGGATGATATTTTCACCACTCTCTAAGTGTTTGTTGTATAACTCTGAGGAACAAGGCTGACAGCAAGTGAGAAAGACCAATTATAAACTGAGCAATGAACAGCCAATATTTATTAAGCACTTGCTATGTTCCAGAAACATTGCACCTACTACCTACAACATCACTGCCCAGCAGGATGGCATTCTCCCCCATTTTACATGTGAGGAAACTGAGGCTCAGAGGAGTTGAAGTAGCTTAACCATGACTACCCAATTAGAAGCTGTTAGAGAAGGTGAGGAAACCAGGACCCCTGCTTGTTTCTGTCCCAGCCAGAAGAGCCCATTCCACTGCATCACTAGAGTAGGATTAATCACAGGGCCCTGTACAGGTGAGTTCGCTACAACCAGGCAGAGAACAAATGCAATTTGTCACCATCCAAGCATAGGCCCCACCCATTCAGCCCTGAGACCCTCCCTGTGCGCTGTCTGGCTCTGTGCTAGCCCATCTGCCCTTACACCATGACAGTACTTAACAGCATCTATGTTCCATAGCACCCCATACAGGAAGATTCAGAGGGTGGAACAGTCAAGGATCACAGACAAACCTCTTCAGGACCCAACAGCAGGCTGTTCTCTGCCAGGCTTCACCCCCACCCCGCACTCAGGGTGGGCGTTCAGGGGCTGCCTAGGTCACCTTGGAGCAGCAGGAAGAACCTATCAAGAGTGAAGGCTAGCTGTACCCGGAGTGGTGCAGCATACAGCCCAGACATTTGAATTCCCTCCATTATCTTGGAAACACCAAAGAACAGAGAGAGCCACGATCACCAGTAAACCGTCCTCTGCCTAAACACCTCGACTGAAATGAAAACAGAACAGCTTAAAACAGAATCCTGGGGTAATGGTTACAGAGAATTCCTCAGCTCCCAGGTTCGAATCTGCATTTATTCATGAACTACAAGAGGATTCTGACAGGCCACAGGCTTAAATGTCCATCGAGACGGACCAGATTTAGGTGGGGCGTGGTGTCCCAAATCTCTCATCCCGTACTCTGGCTGAAGCAGAAGGGTCTCCAAGTCTGGGTTATATAGCAAGCCTCTATTAAAAAAAAAAAAAAAAAAAGGAGGAGGAGGAGGAGGAGGAGGAGGAGGAAGGGAGGGACAGGAAGGACGGAGGGACAGAGGGAGGAAGGAAGGGAAGGAGGGAGAGAGGGAGGAACAGAGGGAAAAAGGAAGAAAGAAAAAAACAGGAGTGGAAGACGTAGAGGGAATTCAAATTTAGACTTTAGGAAGCAATGTTATATAACCCTTAAAAAGCGGGAGGAGCGTGTAAATAGTATGCACATGATTTACTTTTAAAGGAACAAAATATCCTGGTACAATAAAAACTATATTGTTATCATCTATTGATGTATCGTTTATTTCAAAAACTAGTGTTGGCTATTTCATCCTGCTAACGTTTCGCCATGTCGATATGACACACAGATGCACCGAAGCGACACACAAATCAAAAGCACTGCTGCCTAACTATCAGATTGGGCGGGGCTTGAGAAGCCGGACCTAGTTCAGCTAGGTGCTGGATTCTGGAAAAGGTGGTAATCCTTCCACAGGACTTTTCCATCATCTGCCAAGTGGACTAAAACCAGATATTCCTCCGAGTTGTAAGTAAACCGGTAATTCAGCTGACAGCATAACATGACAGAGCTATGATCACAAAGCATGTTGGCTTTACATTCTTCAGGACTCTGACAGATGCTTAAGATACACTCGAAAACTAATGCCTACTAGGTCAGGAGTGGAATGAGGGCAATTCTTATAGAGATCAAGACTAAGATGGGGGCTCAAGCCTCAGTGTGTTGGGACTTTTCACTCGCGAGACTTTAACCTCAAATTCACGACTACACATTTGAGGTGGAAGTGAGGAGACCCAGAAGCCAACGCGGTAGCCAAGCCCTAGACACAGAATGGCGTCTCTACAGAGTCACGTGAAAGCATTTCCACGTGGACCTACAAACTACGGCCTTTACTGGTCAGCCCCACACTCCTGGGCGGAGCCTCTGAGGCGGAGCCAAGCCGTGACATTTCCCGACTTGACTTTGGTTCCGGTTTGTCACTTGAAATACAACTGGCGTTCAGTGAGCATCCCGCTGTGTGTCAGGAAGGCTGGGCACACCCAACGCTCGACCCCGCACCGCTACCCCAGAGCCCAGGACTGTGGCTCACACCGCTGGTGCCCAGCCACGTGGCACCTGCCGGCACCCGACACCCCGCGCCTCGCCAGCCCCGCAGCGCCGTCCACATGCTGGGCGTCCGGCCCCGCAGCCCCAGCGCCGAACCCGCGCCCTCCTGGACACCGCAGCCCGAAGCACCGGGTCCTGCCAAGCGCCGCCGCCTCCACCAGCCCGCAGGCCCCGAAGCCCTGCCAACGCCCGGCCTGGAAGCCCCCGCGGGGCCCACCAGCGCCGCGCTCCCCTCCACCTCCGTGGTGCTCCTGGCCTCCGGCTGCGCCCTGCAGCTGACCCTGGACGGCGTCGACCTGCTGCTGCAGCCCGAGCCCACCTCGCTCCTGCAAGTGTCGCTGCAAGGACACACCGTCATCCTGGTCCCCGAGGGCCTCCTGAGCTGCGCCCACCCAAGCCCTGGACGGCTGGAACACGCGCCCGCCGGCCTGCAGGTGACAGCTCCCCTGGACACGCCCCAGGACCACCTCGTCGTCATGGAGGAGGAATCCTGGGAGTCGGTCCCAGACATCGCCTGCCAAGAGGACGCCAGTGATTGGGACGCGGACCCAGGCATCCTGATGCCCCGGGACCACCTCGTCGTCATGGAGGAGGAATCCTGGGAGTCGGTCCCAGACATCGCCTGCCAAGAGGACGCCGGTGATTGGGACGCGGACCCAGGCATCTTGACGCCCCGGAACCATCTCGATTTCGTCATGAAAGAGGAACCCTGGGAGTCGGTCCCGGACATCGCCTGCCAAGAGGACGCGGGTGATTGGGACGCAGACCCAGGCATCCTGGCACCTTGGATGGATGCTCCAGCTGGCCGGGCCGAGGGCTTCCCTCCTTCCACAGGGGCGTCCATGCGCTGGCCTCAGGACCGAGTCCCAGAGCCCTGGTCTCCGGTGTCCTCCTCAAGTGCGGAGAGTCTCGATCCACCGTCCATCTGGGACCTGGACAGCTGCACGCTGAGGCCCTTCCCCAGCTCACCACTGCAGCCTCTGCCACCGTCTCCTCCGCCAAGTCCCCAGGAGCAGCGCCCTCCACAGTCTCCACGCCCTCAGAGCAAGGTCCGGAGGCGACTGTTCCATGAATGAACTGCGTCCTGTGAGAGAATTACACAATCTACAAGGTTAGAATGACAGATTTTTTTTGGTGTTTAATTTTTGTAAATTTTTTTATAATTTAAATTTACTGGATTTTTTTTATTCATGAGTGCTGTATATTTACATTTCCGTCCTTCCCTCTCCTCTCTCATTTTTTCTACATCCCCCCATTCCCTCCTAATTTTTTATCTCTTCTTTAGTGATTATTGTTACATGTGTAGATAGATGACAGAAGATAGATTATAGATGATAGATAGAAGATAGATAGATAGATAGATAGATAGATAGATAGATAGATAGATAGATCATAGATAGGTACATAGATACATAGATAGATACATAGATAGATAGATAGATCTGACCAAGCCCTGTTCCTAGATAGTATCTTCTAGATAAGACAGGGGAGCTGTACCCATTAAATCTAAGCAATATGGTTGCCTAAGCAAGATCTGCATAATGGCAACTCCAGGTGACATGCCAGCACAGGATGGGGGAGACTTCCCAAGGTCACACCTCCAGATGAGTTATAGGCAATCAATGGCTACTGAAAGGTGGAGAATCCATTTTCTCCAGGGACAGTTCCCTGATAGATTATCAGATCCCAAGTGGTCAACCCTGAGCACATATACAGACTAGGACCACTAGATTCTTGGCTTTTCTGTGGGCAGCACCAAAGAATGCATCTTAGTGGCTGACTAGGAAGTCTGGAAGAAAGATCATCTCCACCAAAAAGTATGTTGTTTGAAAATCATCTACTTCTGGTTTTACAATTGGCTGCTTAAGCCTTTTTTTGTACAGAAGTGACCCTAAGGTATTTCATCTATCCTGGCTTGACTTCAGTTTAAGCACTTGTCCTTACACATTCACCCCTATAACTGCACCCTTTTTCTCCCAAATTGGAGTCATTACTCTAACTAGTACCCATTAGTAATTAATAGTGTAACGCTTTTGTCTAATGGGCTTTGGCCCTAATCTCTCCTATTTGTGCCTACTTTAGGGGGAATCTAGCTACATGCTAGATTGTTCTACATACGTGTTTGCTCTTTATAAAACAAATTGAGAAAGGGAAGCAAGGGTCTTGTGTCCTTTTATTTTTAATAATTAGATAAGGAAATTATGTTGACAGGGCATTTTTTGTTTGGAAGCTTGTTTTGATTTGAAGATTGGGGGAAGGGAGTGGTTTTCCTCTGCCCAGAAGAACTGAGTTTTTACTTCTTCTTGTGTGTTTTTAATACAGTTCTCCTGTTCTGAAGGTCATAATTCTGAGGTTATAATAATTAGAGTCATAAAATTATATAGTAAGATTTAATAATTATAAGATCCCAGTTTTAGTTTGTTCATTGTTAGGACTATGCAGAGATAATTCTTATGTTAATTAGATATGCAACAAAATTTATTAATTTTTTTAATAACGTGTGTGCTGTCTTTGGGTTTGTGGATAAGGAGAGGAATATCTCTAATGAGAAAATTGGCACTTTTGACACTTCTAATGCTTTTTATTTTTTTCTTAGCATTTTCTGTTAGATATTGAACATTGTGCTTGGTAGAGACATTCCTGTACTTTGCAATGCATTGACTTAAATTTTATCAAAAAGCATTACCTTTTTGGTAAAGGATTGGTTGTCTTTGTTTAGTCTCTGATCAAAGAAAAACATTGAGTTTCTGTTTTGGTTTTTGCTAAGTACAAAGACTTTGTCAAATTTTATGTTGAATTTAATCATTGAATTAAATTAGTTTTTAAAACTTAATCATTTGTGTGTCTTCATATAAGTGCTGTGTTGACCCTTGAGTCATTGAACACACAGAAATTGGTGAGAGAACAAATGAGCCCAGGTTGGGGTTGCGGGACTTTAAAAAAACTAGATGCCCTTTTGGAGACTTGAGAAGAGACGGTTGGAGGGGAAATGCTTGAGGAGTAACTTTAAGTATCAAGTGTTAAATTTTAATAACTTCTCTCTTTATGCATGACTCTGTAACATCATTTCATGTGGTGACTTACGGTGCTAGAACTTGTAACAACTGTGATTCTTCGAATTTCTGCTATTCTGTGTGATTTTCTTAGACTATAATTTATACCCTGGGATGTTTTCTTTCTGTCGTTTTGGGTTTTGGATCTTATAGGGGGAAGGTAAGGAGGGGTTTTGTTTATTTTTATTCCTGCATTTCTTATTTGTTTTTATGCACATTACTCCTAATATTAAAATGTCCATTTCTTAAAAAAATGTCCATTTCTACTCAGGCTTGCCCAATATTTTATAATGAAATCATTAATGATTCAATCGTAACTGATATTAACAAAGAGGTGTTTTAGGAGCATTAGTAATTGTTATATAGATTTATCAAGGTGTTGCCAGTTTCTATCCTACTTTCTATTCGTATACTTCACAACTTCATTCTTCCTGTCTTTTATTTTACTTTTATTTATTTGAGGGAATGAAGGTACCATGGTACACATGTGGAGATCAGAGGATAGCTTTCAGGAGTTTAGTCTCTCCTCCACTCTGTGTGTTTTAAGCCGTGAATTCAGATCATCAAGCCTGGCAGCCAGCACCTTCCCTCACTAAACCATCCCACCAGCTCCTCATTTGTCTTCTAACTGTTCCTGCAATTTTCTTTTATGCAATAGCATTTCCTTGTGTAGCCCAGGCTTGCTTCAAACTTACAATCTTCTTTCTGCTTCAGCTTCACAAGGACTAAGGTAATAGTCATGACCACCCTATAAAAATTCCTAAGAATTCTTTCCTCTGTGACCTGTGTGGTAAGTCCTAGTTTTGTGTCTAGAAATATTTTAGTTATACCTACAAGCTACTATTTTAGCTGTGTTTGCACTTCTAAAATCATATCTATATTCTCTCATTAGTGTAAAGATTTTATTTCAGTTTATGTGTATGAGTGTTTTGCTTTTGTGCATGTAAGCGTACCCATGTCATGCAGTTCCTGTGGAGGCCAGAGGAGGACGTTGAATCCCCTAGAACTGAAGTTAAGGATGGTTGCTAGCCATCATGTGAGTGCTGGGAGCTGAACTGGGTCCTCTGCAAGAGTAGCCAGTGCACTTTTGGGGGGTGCTGTTGTTTTGTTTTGAAACAGGGTCTCTCTGTAACCCCAGCTAGCCTGGAACTCACTAAGTATACCAGGTTGACCTGAATCTCACAGATCTGCCTGTCTTGAGTGCTGAGATTAAAGATGTGTACCATCATGCCCTGCCCAAGCCAGTGCTCTTAACCACTGAGCCATCTCACCAATCCCTGTAAAGATTTTTTTTCCTACTGTTCATTGATGCAGATGAGAAGTTTTCTCTCAATTTATATTTTCATTTCTTTGTAATTAATCTTCTTGCTTTAGTTTTACATTCATGTATTTAGTCATAGAAATCCATCAGCTGGAATTCAGTGAAATATATCTTAAGATTAATTCTTAAAGTCAGTTTTTTTTTAATGGCATATTGGGCTGGGGATATAATACGCTCAGGACTAAGAATGGGAAAGTCACAATACCAATCAAAAGGAGATGGAATCTTTCTCTCAGACCTTTGAACTCATCTCTCTAGTTTCTACAATGCTGATATAAAATGGCGATCCTATTTAATCAAGGTCTCCCCCCATGTCTCTTATTATCTATATATTCATAGCCTTTATTGTAATATATTTTCTCTTTCACAATGAACTTCAATTTTTTCAAATTTCTGCTATTTTTTTTAAAGACAATATTCAGGGGCCTGGAGATGGCTCAGTGATTAAGAACAATGGCTGCTCTTACAGAGGACTCAGATTCAGTTCCCAGCACCCACATGGTAGCTAACAACCATGCCTAGTTGCAGTTCCAGGAGATCCAATGTCCTCTTCTGGCCTCTGTGGGCATTGCATGCACTGGTGAACTTACATGCAGGCAAAACACACACATAAAAGTAAATTTAAAAAAATTTTAAAGACAATATTTGCTTTACATTGCTCATTCTTTAAACCAATAATTAAGTGTGTTCTTTAAATTTTTATTGAATTTTTTGTGATTTTCATGCAATATAATTTGATGGCATTTAGATCCCTTTCCACATTTGCACCTCCCCCCACTGCCTCCCACTCAATTCAATATCCTCCACTATATATACAATACAGCTTATAAAGTTTGATTTGTGTCCCCACATGTCACTCAGCATGGGTCCATCCACTAGAGCCTGGTAAGAAACCATCTCTCCCCCTGCCAGCAGCCATCAGTTGCCAAAAGTTCCTTAGACTGGGTTGGCAATTAAGTGGTGTCTAAAGTCAATTTTCTCTTGTTTCACAACTTCTAATCAATTTTACCTAAATTTTCTGCCTCTTGGATGTTAATCTATTTTGTCTTTTAAAAAAATTTAAAACATTGTTATTTCAAATTCTATATCAGTTAGCTTAATAATTACTTTTTTTAAAATAAGACTTTTAATTAATTATTTTTATTTTACGTGTGTGAGTGTATTTCCTGCATGTGTGTAAGTGCACCCATGTTCTGCAGTACCCGAGAAGGACAGAAGAGGGCGTCAGACCCCCTGGAACTAGAGTTAGGGATGGTTGTTAGCCACAATGTGGGTGCTGGGATTCAAACCCGGGTCTTCTGCAAGAACAACCAGTGCTCTTAACCACTGAGCCATCTCTCCAGTCCCTAATAATTACTTTTGGGGGGCTTAATATCCAAGATTTTGTGGTAGCATCTATGACATCACTTTTTTTTTTCTTTTTTTTTTTCTTTTTCTGGTCTTTTTGAGACAGGGTCTCCCTGTAGCCCCAGCTGGCCTTGATCTCACAGAGATCCACCTGCCTCTGCCTCCCAAGTGGGATTAAAGGTGTACACCACCACACCCTGCTGCACTACTTTCTTTTAGACCAAAAATAATTGGTTTATGGGCATTCCTAAGGAGGAATTTGTTTTCTGCTCTGCTTGCGAATTTTGCATTTGCTGCTTCTTTATTCTTGAAAATTCAGAAGAGCCAACAATATGGAGTGTATATCATTTGACAC